GTCAGCCGTCGGGCGCGGCCTCTTCCTCGAGTCGAGGACCAGCCTGCCTTACCCGACCTTTCGAAAGCCCACAGCAAGGAGGCGGGTCTGGAGTAGAGACGATGTGGATCGGAAAATCGATATTCTCACACCAGATCCGACCGACCTGGCCGACGGGGGAAAGGGCAAGACTGATCCGAAAGGGTCCTCGTCACGGCATGAAAATCGAACCACCGCGCCACCTAGCCCGCCTCTGACTGCAGACCAGAGATCGTCGAGAAAAGGAAGCTCGAGCGGAGGAAAGGTGACAGAGGAAAAGAGAGAAAAGGAAAAGAGGAGGGCTTCGGTTGACCCTTCTCGATCGAGCTCCAGCTTGGGTCGCAAGAAAGAGGATGGTTCTAAAGTCAGCAGCAAGACTGGCACGCCAGCGAAGACGAGGGTTCGTGACTCCGCGACACCCGTCCGCTCGGCCAGTCATAAAACATCCAGGTCGAAACTACAGGACAAGGTTGAATTGCCCAGACGGGCAGCCACTCATAAAACCAAATCCCCAACGCATTCCACTCCCGCTGCCGCCGAATCTTTGTCGGAGTCGACCAACGATTCAGATGCAACGTCCGTTGCGCCGAATCAGGGCAAGCCTCCCTCGCGAACTCGGTCGCGCACATCGAAACGGGACGATGGTGGATATCGCAAACAATCACCGATCGAAGTCTTTGTAGAAGAGGAGAATGAGTCGGTCGTCAACGGTGGTAGCCATGGCGGAGCGCCTCCCCCTCCGCCCCCGCCGCCTCAAATGCCTGTCTCCATCCCTAGAGTGGATTACTTGCTTCAAAACGGTGGATTGAACTATCGGATACCGAAACATCTGCTCGGTGCTGGGGAGTCTCCAAACATGCCACAGCAATACGTGCAGCCTCAGACAGCGGTGGTCAGGGTTTTTGAGCCGTTCCACCGGTTGCTGGATGATTACAGTACAGTCATGGCTAAGAATGGCTCATTAGCGGTGGCTACCGGATATCGATCAGTGGCACGCAGACTGTTGGACCGGTTGGAGGCTGTCTTCGCGCGCGACATCTCATCCGAGACCTGTCGGTGTCTCATGTGCGAGCAAGACGCGAACCATGAGACTGGCTCCGGGGTCAGCTGGGGTGAAGTGTTGGAGCTCGTGTCGGGGCGACGGGAGTTGCCCAGCTGGCCGCCTTTCCAGATCGCAGCGTCGATAAAGGATCAGGTTGTGTCGGGCGAGGAGCACATACCGATGCAGAAGTTGGATATCGACGTGCCAGAGGAATATCGCGAGCACTACATCCGTCAGTCCCACAAGACGAAGCAGGCAGTCGACAAGTGGCTTCTGGGCCAGACAGAAGAAGGCCTGCCAGAGGAAGTCGATGATGAAACCCTGACCTTTGCCATCATGACGCATCTGGATCCCGATCGCCGCGAGATGTTCTGTGCGCTATTGGGAATTACTGCCTCGACGCCGGTACCGAAAGCGGAGACACCGTCACCTCGAATACGCCCGCAATTTTTGGATGCTTGTTCTCTGGCTATCCAGCGGCTGTACAGGCTAGCGGCTCCGCCTCGAGATTCGGAGACAGCAATCTACATGCTCAACAATCCGAACATCCACAATGTGCTGGCAACGCTGGCGGCTATTAGTAACGACGAATGGGAAATCTTGATCTCGGGGCGCTTCGACGGATTTCTGCGCAGCGGAGCGGAAGACAACTATCCCCCGTCGATGACCGCGTCCGCTCCACCACGCCCCGGAAGCCGCTCGTCGTTCACTGGCTCGTCGCGGGGACCGACAGACGGCAGTTACCGACCAGTCAGCCAGCCATACGGCACCACGACTCCTCCTCCTGCGGCGTTTGGGGCTCCAATCGCTCTGGACGAGGAGACTGAGATCGCGGCGTTGGCGGAGATCGAGAGGGACATCTACCTCAGCATGGAGGCCCTCGAGGACGCATTTGAGGCGTTGCATTGCAAAGCGGAAGCGGTGCGACGCGCCCTGCGGGAGCGAGGAGCAGGTTTGGCAATGGCGCAACAGGCCCGACGCGGCTTGACGACGAATCTGGACGCGAGGATGGGTACACCGGCATCGATGAATGGAAGTGCGTGGGACGGCAGCATGGACGACGACGATGGAATTGATGACGACACGTCTCTGGCACCAGACGATTCGGCGAGCAACGTCAGTTCGAACAGGAGACGGCGTCCGAAGCGACGAAGCGAGCGACGCACGCCTGCACCAGTCGAGGAGGAGCAAGAAGACGACTATTTTCGACGTGATCGAAGGCGGTAAAGACATACAAACTATATATTTCATGTCAACAGATATGATGTGATGATGATCTCAAAGACATTTCACGACCAGATGATCTGATGATACATGACATGATATGATGATATGTTCTGAACTGGACAAGGTCTGCTCATATGAATGCATAGGCAATAGGCTCTGTTTCTGCTATCAATCAATACCCTTGTGTTTTGCAATTGTGCGTGGTGTTGGCGGTTGGATTTCAGCGTCTTCGTCTGCATAGTTCAGTTTAGCGTCAAGTGAGAAACAGGAATGGAATGGAAATCATCAAATCTGCATGAATGTCTGTTGTATTGATGTTGGAGAATGCCGGCTCAGACGTAGAAAAAGTAAAGAAAGTTGAGTCTTGCCACGGAGTTTATCTGGAAGGAGCGACTAACTGGTCCGCAATACCATGGACTTCCTAGTCTGGAAGGTGCGCACTGGCGGCACCTTCCTACGGAATAGACGACGGGAGATCTGACTGAATTCTTGTATTCCAAGGCAAGGCTAGATAGTAAATACATTCAAGAAGATCAGGAAGAAAACAGAAGTAGAATATCCACTTTATATAGGACAGGTCATGCCGTGCATGGAAGCTCTTACTTGACAAGGTCAAAAACAGGTTCTGTGCTGGATGCCAGTCATGTCTGAGACAGAGTAACCTACCTCATAAAGCAAATTTAACCCTAGAAAATGCGTATGATGAACGAATCTAAATGACACCACTCTTTCTTTCCTTTTTCAGGCGTGTATTCAAGATTTCGATTTTCTCCAACTATCGTCCTTTATTCCTGTCAACTTCGAGTTGATTCTCGCGTCAGATAAAATACGCTATCTCCATAGCCGGGTTGGTAGGCACAAATTCTAATTTCGAAACTGCTCGAACGTAGTATGGAACAAATAGGCATGTATTATTATCCTAGGCTTTCTCGTAAATTAAATGGATGGCATAGGGTCCAATCTATTGATTAGTTTTTTTCTTTAATGATGCTATAGAAATTATTCAAAATGGACCTTTTTTTTTAGACAGAGTAATGTAAGATGCAAAAGAAAAAGCACTTTTCTAGAATACCAAGTTTCCATGCAGGGTCTCAGTTCGAGTTTCTATCCTACTTACTATATTGAATTTTCTACTTTGTATAAAGACATCAAGGTACAATGCCTTTAACCGTCTGGAATACCCTATAGCACATAAGTTGTCCTTATTCAAATGTGGATTCTTCACAACCCCTTGGGCTCATACAGTCTGGTAATGCAATATAGTCGAGAGTTCCAGGTTGCACAGTGTCTCGGAGGAATGGGCGGATCAGACTCGTGATATATACCGACAAGTCAGCGATTTCAATAAAGGGAGTAAAGCAAATACAAGTTAGCATGGTGCTACCAGACTATCGGGTAAAAATCTCTCACGGGTAATCGTACTTCTCTAATTGTGTACAAATGGAGGATATATGACTATAAATCTTTTCTCCTCTTTCTCCTTGTTCTCTGCCTCCCCCTCTCCCCTCTCTCTTTGAGTCACTCTATTGCTTCGTCTTTTTTTCATTTAGTTGCGTTCTTTGATATTTGTCTTTCCCTCCTTTTTCTTTTTTTTTCTCTTACTTGTCTCCTTCAGGCAGAAACGACTGAAAGCACAAAGAACAGAAATGCTCGACCAATGCAAGTTCAAACTGCACTTTCTCTTTTGTTATTAATGCCAGGTACTTGATGCAACATCTGCAGATTTTTCTGTCCATTCTTCACTCTGGACTTTAGCTTTGATGCCTTAGTGCTACTAACACTAATAGAATGCCACCGAATGGTTTCAGACATCATATCCTGCAACATAGACACACAGATCACTTGTTCTTAGGATATGAATGGATATCCCATTTCGCAGGCAAATGTCGCTGAAAACTGACGCTGCCATGTATCACTTTCCATATCAGGACTAGCTCCGTTTACTTCGATCTATATCAACTGCCTTCCCCTGTAGATGGCTGCTGTCTTTTCTTCTCCATCTGTGGCTTCTTCCTTTCAGTAGCCACCAATACAATACATCTCTTGTCTCATCAATTGAAATTGTGGCAACACCACACAAACACCATGGCGGCCATCATCTCACAGCAGAATGGCCCCGGCTTTTTCCTCGAGTGGAACGACCGCAGACCAACACGGGTCCACACCATGATGAACTACTGTTTGTTTGTTGTCAAGGTCCATACTCTGCCAAACTCCACAGTGCGAATTAGCAACGGCCAGCTGGTCAACATGGACATTAAGCTGTCTGTCCCAACCGACAACCGTGACAGCACCGGTGCAGTCATCTATCGCCAGGTGGATGCCAAGGATATGCCTTACTACATTCACTACCCTGTTTCTGAGAGACTGCACCAAGTGTCTGAGACCTGTGGTCTCATTCATTGCGATGACTTCTGGTTCAAGTGGCCGGGGACCTTCAAGCTTGAGATCAGTTTGTCCCTGGAGGGCCCTGTCTTTCTGGGCCAGTGCACGCTGGCACCTTTTGAGGTTACGATGTCGGATCAGCCAGGGAATATGGAGTAAGTAACCCTTGGAAATTGGTACCTAATGAACATTACTATCTGTACCTCCTTGTTTTCATCCTCCCTTCAGTTCATGTCATCACGATGTTAGTCTAGTTGGCAATCGACTGGAACTCATTAATTCTTTATCTAACTGCTATTTAGATCTGTTTGTTCCGGACAATCTTATAGGCAGTGTGGATAATGCCAAATGATTCCTTACAGGGATAGAATTATGTCCGTACTTGTGCTGCACATAACTAGATATAGTACTATAAAATACAGAACAGGATAATTGGGAGGAATCAATCTTGCTAGAGCTGATGAAAGCACCCTGTATGTAGGCGATATATGCGTGATTTTACTTGGTAGAAACGATTAGATGAGGAGTGATATATTCAAGCAGTCTCACCTGCAAGCAAACAGTTATCCGAGACAGAAGAGGATGGAACCATATCGACTCTGAGCATCTGGACTTATAATCAGGCCATTTCCTTGATTCGGATCCTTTCTTCTCTAGTAAGTATACTATGACTAACTCCGTTCAAACTCTATAGAGAGTGACATGACAGTCACCGGCTTCTTCAACATAACCGTAGGGTTTGACTGCAGACCCTTCACTTCCCTATATCGAGTCATACCGTATCGCCACTCGAGTCATATATTTGTCGAAACAGTCAGAACTGCACCTCTATTATGAAAGTGAGCATGGCACCATGTTCTTTTTTTTTTGTCTTTTGAGCTTCTTTCTTCTCTTCTATCCAGCCCGAGAAAGCCTCTTTTGCGAATTTCGGATACGAAGATACCATCTTAATCACGCTCATCCTAGGCCAGGCGTATATAGAAACTCTACTTCAGATATACGCGCTCATTTTACTTTTACTTCCGTCTGGACGGACAACATACGTCTACCCGTCTGTCCACCATATCATACAACCCAGATAACTATGAAATCAGCTTATCATCAAGGGATTCAACTGCCAGTTTTAACCCCTCCGACTGGATAGTGTTAAACGAGCCCTTCCCAGACCTTTTCGTCAAGATTTCCATCCGCGAGGGCTGCAACGAGAGGTTCACCGGCGACGAGCCCATCCACCTCGACAACATCATCCTCAAAATCTACGATCCGGAGAAGAAATTCGATTGCCACACCGAACCCGACTCTGCCGGCTACCGCGAGATATACGGCCTCGGGGTGGCCAACCATGCCACGAGGAAAAAGGACTATACGGCAGAACTCCCAGGAAAGGAAGTGACTATCAGGGTCCAGAACTTTTGTTTCTTGCAGGAGGCCCGGTACAAGGTCGCGTTCAATGTCTCCCTCGGTAATGTCCACTTGGGCACCACCCAGGAACAATTCGTCCATCCCCGGAAAAGTGTGAGACCGGTCGAAGAACCGGAAGAGGTTGTTGATCCGATCTGATTGATCTGCTTTGATTCGATCCATATGTCCACTCGCAGTGGTCTGTCGAGTCTTTGCGGCCATTTTTTCCCCTATATGTCTAGAGTAGGAGAGTCATCTCCATTTTTGACTTTCTTTTTCGAGTCAGCTTTCCTTTCTTTCTTTCTTTCTTTCTTTCTCTCTTTTTTCCTTTCCCCCCCCCTTTTTTCCTTATCTCTTATTTCTTTATTTATATTTGGCCTGTTGCTATTTATCCATGTACGAGTTAGAGCACTCTGTAATCTTATAGACAAGCAGGGTCATCTAGATTAAACTATATACTTAAAATTATTTTCGTCACAAGTGTTCATATAGGAAATTTAACGTATGCAAAAAATTAGTGCAGTTTTGGCACCTGAATCTGCGAAAAATTCTAACTTTTGTATGTAGGCTTTTTTGACTTAAAAACATATATTATGAACCTAATTTTATGGTTTTCTGGAAAAAAAATAAATAAAAATAAATAAATAAATAAAATTAAAAAAAGCTATATGGTGAATATCTTTCAAAAAAATTAAAAAGCTTTAGTTTTCAAATTACTATATAAATTTGAAATTCGCGTATTTTTTAAATTTAAAAGCAGTATTATTTCTAGACCTTTTTTTAATTTTTAGAAAATCATAATGTTGGGCTCATAATTAATTTTTTAATGTCAAAAAAGTTACAATTTTTTGCAGGTTCAGGTGCCAAAACTGCACCAATGTTTGCATACGCCAAATCGGTCTTCTTCCCCCCCTCCCTTAATTCTTCAGTTTCATATATGCACAGGCAGAGATTCGGTTTAGATCAACAACCCCGCTTCGAACGGCACTTACAGGTTGGCTAAGAAGCGAATGTCATGGCATAGGTTATATAACAAGTCTCACATGAAGAACAACAGAAGGGAGGTGGACAGGCGAAAAGCTGGGCAATTGGCGTGAAATGGATGAATAAGCAGATTGTCCACAATGGAGGTCGAAAGAGGGGGAAAGCGATATAAAAGGCGCCATCTTCTTCCTAGCTTCCGCAGCTTAAGCTTGACTAGAGCATCGCTAGCCGAAGTAGAACAGCATAAAGGCATATCCCAGCCACGCTTCCAAGACTTGTCCCAGGGTAAGTCCGCCAGTCTGGAATCTGCTCTGAAATCGTCCTCTGACAACCCCAGGCGATGGCTCCACGCACATTGGCGCGCTACCAGCAGGACGCGGCCTTGCGAGAATTGGCTGTCACAGTCGTCTCCTGCCAACCTCTGTCCGCATTACCTGAGGACGAGCGCGCCCTGTTCAAACAGCCTCAGATGATGATTACGTGGTGGAGACCAGCGAGACCATCTTCCACCCGCAAGGCGGCGGACAGCCGAGTGACACCGGCACAATGAAGTCCGACACCATCAGCAAGCAAGTCACCTTCCAAGTCAACATGGCTCGCAAGCTGCCGAGCGGCCAGATCCTCCACGCAGGCAGCTTTGTCGGCGACCAGCCGCAGCAGCCCTTCAGTGCAGGGAAGACGGTCATTCAGGCCGTCGACAGCGAGAAGCGCGACTATCATTCCCGACTGCACACGGCAGGCCATCTGATCGGACTGGCGGTGTGATCGCTCCAGCTAGACGACGTGAGCGAGCTCAAGGCGAACCATGCCCCGGGATCATCATTCGTCGAGTTCCAGGGCCTGATAGTCGGCGAACACAAGGCTGCGATTCAGCAGAAAGTCGCCGCGATGGTGGAGCAGCGCTTGCCAGTGCACGTCCACTGGTGGGACGAGGCCGCGGTGAGGACGCGCTGCACCGCCGTCCCTGATGCTCTCGCCCCGTCGGACGACTGCCTCGTGCGCGTCGTCGAGGTCGAAGGCGTCGGGGCTTATCCGTGCGGAGGGACGCATCTGCCCACGACGTATGATGTTGGAGAGGTTGTCGTGCGTAAGATCAGTCGGCAGAAGGGTATCAGCAAGATATCGTATGAGGTTAGGCAATGAGTTGAATAGGACTCATTTATACGCTGGTAAACTGATGCAGCTTTAAAGAGAAATTGGGACTAAAAGAAAAAAGAAAAAAGAAAAACAGAAAGAAAGAGACAGAAGCGCAAAAAAATTGAGACTGACGATGTGTATATAAAACAATGGAAATAAAACGAATCAGGTGAATCAGGGCATGTCAGTAGAAAGACGTAGTCTTTTCGTCCGATAGATTACAAGTTAGGGTTGGCTGATCCTGAATGAATAGTGGCAATCCACAGCCCTATTGGAACAGTGCAAAAGCTGGATTTTGTCCTCTTCATCTTATCCGAAGTGAATAATGTCTGATTCCAGGGCATGTTTACGACTACAGAACTAGCTCCAAATATTGATATGCATGTCCGTGAAAGAAATTCTCGGCGCCAGCTCTCATTTTTTTTTTTACTGTGTCAGTCTGACCAGCATCAATGCTCCTGAGAAACCACGCTTCTCTCCTCCATCAGCTCCAGCCTGTACTGCTTCGCTTCGTCCATCGTGATCGGGAACCCATCGAGGTTCCCGATGACCATGTTCTGCAGCTCGATGGGGAGGGAGCTCAACACCTCTCTCCTTAAAAACTTTTCCCTTTCCCCCACCAATCCGCCCTTTGCGGGGGCACGTTTGCAGACGAAATGATGCGTATGTGCGGGTCGACGAGGAAGAGAGCGATTGCGATGGTCAGGTTTGGTGCGGTCCGCCAATGCGAATGGCGAGACGCGGTGCTGGAGGATGTTTGGGAACGTCAGGAGACGGCCCTCGAGACATGACACGCTGCCTATCTCTTGGGTCACTGGGCCGTCGTCTCGTCCTGTTCTGACGCCGAAGCCGAAGACTGCTTCCAGCCATTCATGCTTGTTCGTAGCGTACATTCATCCCTTAACCCATGTCCGCGCGTTGGCGGAAGGAGAGCGTGCTCGGCGTGATGTTCTCGTTCGAGTAGTAGTAGAGTGCCGTGGCGCAGATGTGCTCGTTCTGACAGTCGTCAGTTTGACTTAACAAGAAGAGCAGGGGTGGCAAGAACTTACCAGCTGCCCTTCAACATGCCATGAACCGCCCTCGTACTCTGGTTTCTCAGGTGTCAGTTCAATGTTTGCTAGCTTGACGATTACTTGGAGGCCATTTTCGTGAAATTCCTTGCGGAGATCGACTTTCCAGTCTCCTGTCATCATGCTCCCTGACTCGAATTCCCCTGGCTCAGGTAGGATCAGTTGACGGGATCGTGCCCATTCACGATATCGCTCGAGGAATTCTGTATTCTCCCATTCTTCAGGGCGTGAAGCCACAGGCTTAGGCTCACGTGCATGGTATTCAACCCTTTTGTATGTGATTCTGCTTGGTTCACGGCGCCTCATTGCCGTCAGGGTACTGTTCCATAATGGGATCGTTCGGGCGAGGATCTTCTCAATGACCCCGTAGAGGTCGCGATTCCTGGCTGGATGCAGGTTGTTAATGTACGAGACAATGTGGCACTCGTCACTGTCTGTGAACTCCACATCGCAAGGTAGCCACTAGAATTTCCTACTGAAAGGCACGAAATGCCGGTGATGACGCCGCCAGAAATAAGACTCGTGACGGGTAGGAATTCCTGCTTCGTCCTCAGGCGGCACAGGCAGCACTTCTCCGCTGCCGGAGTGAGCCAGGCAATCATCGAGGCCGATCGCTTCGTCCTTTAGGATCCGACTCCGTCCATATATGACCGGGAAGAGCGAGGGATGCACCAAATCGACGACTTTCATGTCCGAGCCCGGATGAGTAGTCTTTCTGCTCAGCGGGCATGTCTTCGAGCGGACGCACCGCCGTCTGCAGAGCATGTTTCAGCTCGTCAGAAATGGCGATATCCGACTTGATCACACCCCCGTCGAACGCGCTGACAGCGCCCGTTTCCTGGAAGAGTCCTGCTTTGTACCGCAGCTCCTCGATAACCCAGTCCATCATTTTGGGCGTCACGTCCCTGCCGCTGTCAAGGACTTCTTTCCACCATTTGGAGGTGATTTTCTTCGTCAAAAATCTAAAAAAAGATGGTGAGCATTATGAGCAAAACATATTTGGAAATAAATACGCTACTTTTCTGTCCCACTCCGGTTTATCAGTAATGGCATTCATGATCTGCATCATGGTAATCTCGCGGAGCGTCTTCAACCGTCTGGCAAGATGTGATCAATACCCCGATCGCTGACATTGTCATACTCATGGATAATTACCCGATGTAGCCATCTTGGATGTCTTGATAATCCAGTGAATTAGGGAACATAGTATCTCTTCGACTAGGGCGGCCATTCTGCTGGGCAGCGCTTAGCGGAGATGACTTGGTAGATGTATGAGGTTCTGACCGATGGTTTATAATTCAGAGGCAGGGTGTATCCAGGCAGGTCGAAAGGCGTCTGTTGACGGGGAGCAGCAGACCGTGCATTGTTGGTAGAGGCAGCCATATTATCGATTTACTAATATGGTAACAAGATTGATGTTATTTGCTTAGATTTGGCAGTGAGGACAAGAAAGAAGGATTTTGTCAATTGAATTGGCTGGGATTCGGTCATTTTAAAGCTGCGACAGGGGTTAGAAGACCGACAAGCAACTAGCGCAGGCAGACATGTCCAGCCTTTCGTGTTGGTTTAGCAGAGACCCGCTAGAGACGGCGCTTGCTGAATTGAAGCAGGATTAACGAAAAATAAGCCCATATGAGTCTCTTGGAATGTGGTAATCGTATATATTTAGGTAATTGAGTGTTACTATCTCAACTTCATAGGGTTGGCTCTGACTCTGGCCATTTGGAGCAACAGATTGTCTTTAGGGCTTCTGATTGTTGGCTAGTCGCTAAACCAAGGAAACATCGACACCAGACTGGGGTTCGATCCCAGGACCTCCTCGGGGTTAACACAGGGCCGTTTAGGCGCGTGGACCAGCCACTCACCCCCTAGCCCAAGGGCACATACAATGCCTGTTTCTCTCTACCTGTCAACGAATGCGGGGCGTAATGGTGGAGTGATTAGGTCTGCACCTGCAGCAGTACCGGTAAACAGTCTGTGAAGAAAAAAAAAACGAAAACAAAAACAACCCGCGTTCGATCCCTCTGGGCTCCAAAAACATAAAAGTCCCAGTTACCTAACAAATCCGCGGGGGTGCTGCGGGAGGGACGGCACCCCGTATCAGAGGCTTTCAGGGGCTTTTTTTTATTTATCTCCTCTCCCCTTGATTTTTTTTCTCGTAATGTGATGTTGTTATCATTTCCTTTTAGGAAGGTTGTCATAGCCAATTTGCGGCAGTTCTTGCCCTGCGACTTGTTTATCTGCCTCCCAACATTGATGATTCATCAGGCTTGATTGTCGAGTCATCACCTCGTGCTCTCCTGCAGGTACCCTTGCTCTCCTGTATATCCCATTCGTCACCTCGAAATTTGCACAGGATCCCGACATGCTGTTCAGTTGCAGTTGAAGACTCTTCCATAGCCATCAGCTACACGGAGACGCGGAAATATATATGTTGTCTGTGAAGTTGACATCATCCCACATCGAATGTCGACAACTAAAATTGTCTTTGCGTGTAGCAATTGATATCCTCAGATCAGAAAAATCATTCAGGCAACGTGATCCAATTTTCAGCCTGAAGAACGCTTCTTATGCAGCTTTACGCCCTCGTATACGCAAGACGCGCGAAGCTGCATGATCCACCGTTAACCCTGCATCGCCCTGAAGAGTGTCAGGGCAGTGTCACCCTGCCAATCAAATGACAGACTGGTGAAACTGCTACTGCCAGGGGCTAATTTGTCATTGTGTGACAAGAAATGCGCCGGTCAGGACATACAACCCAGGACTCTCGTCACCAACCATGGCTAGGATAAACGGAAACCGCCAGAAATATTGCCAGTGTTGTTCGTAATCCACGTGCTCGTTGCTGCGACAGTTACATGGGTAAAGTCTTCGAGTTCTCTAGCCGACACGCAGTTTTGAAGTCGAATCGTGGAGCTGCCTTCAGGCGACGTTCCACGAGTCCGATACCAGCAAAACGTACCATGCCTGTTTGTTTTGTTCGGACTCCGGGTGCAAATCAAAATCTGCTGTGTAAGTGTAGGTGCTGTGAACCAATCTGACCTCTATCGGATATGAAATTGGCATGGACTGGGATCAATTTTTCCCGTCTTTTTATTCTTCTAGTATCGTTGTCCTATCCCATACCTCTTCCTTCAAAGTCGGGTGAATGTCTCTAGCAGAGCAGTATGTCACTGAAAAATCACCACAATCATGAATTTGATCTGGGCCCTAAAACTTCTCCAAAGCAATCCACCTCGAAGCGATCTGCTGTCAACTCGAGACGAGCCCTCTCCACTCTCAGAAATCGAGCGAAGAGGCCTCATCGCCATCTCAGTGCTGGCCGTGATCTCCTCCATCGCCACGTTCAGTCTCCTCTGCTTCATCTCCTACCGACTCATCTCCTGGAGCGGGGGCAACTACAAACGCTATCTCGGCGACAACCAGTACGTCCTCTTAATCTACAACCTCCTGCTGGCCGACCTGCAGCAGTCGCTGGCCTTTCTGATCTGCGCGTATTGGATCGTGCACGATGCCATCCGCGCCCATACGCCAGCGTGTTTCCTGCAGGGGTTGTGGCTGCAGGTTGGCGATCCGGGGAGCGGGTTGTTCGTGCTGGCTATCGCCGTTCACACCTTTATCCTCGTGAGGTCCGGTCGAAAGCCTGAACATCGGTGGTTTCTGACCGCCGTGGGTGGTGTATGGCTGTTTCTGGCGGTCCTTGTCATCGTGCCGCTGGCTTCGCATGGGACAGGCGTCTTTGTCCCGTCGGGGGCGTGGGTAGGATAGCCATTATGTTTTTATGCAATGCAGTTGTATGATAACCTGTCTAGTGCTGGATCAACGAATCCTACGAGTCGGATCGACTGTGGACACACTACCTGTGGATTTTCCTTGCGGAATTCGGCACGCTGTTGCTGTATACCATCATGTTCATCAACTTGAGACGGCAGATGGCCGCATCGACCATCCTCGGGAGCCTCCACGCCGAGAACCTGCGGCGACTGCGACGGGTGGTCAGCTACATGGTGATTTATCCACTGGCGTACGTGGTGTTGTCTCTCCCTCTGGCAGCTGGACGGATGGCGACTGCGCGGGGATCGACGCCCAGCATAGCGTATTTCTGTATGTCGGGGGCCATGATGACGAGTTCCGGGTTTGTCGACGCCATCATGTACACCTTCACACGGCAGAACCTCCTCTTGGAGTCGGAACCGAGGAGGGATCGCTACAACCGCTGTCAACGTAACCACCACCATCACCCACAAACCCAACTAACAACGATCATCACCGCGATTGGCAGTCCCAATTCTGATTCTCCAAAAGCGGGATGGAAGCTCAATCCATTCCGGGGGTGTACTACCGGCAATAGCAATCGATTTCGTGCTGATAGGCAGGACAACTCAACAGAGCATGCTGTCTTGGGTGAGGACATGGTGTCGCTGCCACCGATGGGCAAAGTATACCAGAAGACGACAATCGAGATCAGACACGAACCGGTCAGCGAACTATCCGGTCGGGATCTGCCGGATCACGATTGTTATCATTGTCGCTACTATCATGATTATGATTATGATCTGTCCTCGAGTGCGGAGCGGATGTGGGGGAAATAAAAAAAAATCACATTATGGACAGACAGACTGCCTGGATGTCAGGAGAAAATTTCTCTCAACGGCGGCCTCTTTTCGAAGGAGACACTGTTAATAAGACACTAATGTGTATAGTATATATGCAATATGATAATGAAGAAATGGCAAATGAACATGGATATGGCCATGACTATAACATGTATTCTTGCATTCCTTGCAGTCATTCAATTAAGTCCACCCATTACTTATTTATTTCCTTTTTTTTTTCCCTTGAAATCGAGACCATCTATGTGTCATATCCGTACATACCTGCAGGAAAGAAAAAAAAAGAACATTATGTCAGCAGAAATTATGATAGCTCAGACGACAGGGGTATCGGCCATTTCACTGAAAAAAAAAAGAAAAAACAATGTCGAATCTCAAAACCTTCACAGAAACGTTGGGAATTTCATATTTCACTCCTCTCCTACTCCTTTTCCTCCCCCTTGTCTTGGAATTAACACTAATGCGTCACCGTTTGTTGCATTCCTGTCCCTCCCTCCAGCTCGTGCAACGGCTCAGCAGCGCTCAACTCTGTTCGTCCATCCTTACCCTCCCGGGCAACTCGTGCTTCTTGTCGGACACTGTACGAGCGCTATCTGCTGGCTTCTCGAATGGTGTTACTGTGACCTGCGGAAAAGGAGCAAAAGGAAGGGGGGTATCCCCCGTCGGGAGCTGGAGCTGGAGCTGGAGTTGGAGCGACTTCGCCAGGAGGGACGGACGTGCGACGATACAGGAACCACAGCAACCCTGCAATGAGGAAGAATCCGACCACGGAACCGATGACGATACCTGCAATCGCGCCGCCGGACAAACCTGCTATTGAACTGGACTGCGGCTGTGAAGTGGCAGTAGCAGTTGGTGTACTTGTCTTGCTAGTTGGCAAGGCCGTCGACGACATTGTCAAAACGTAGACCCCGACTCCGGATAGACATTAAACGACAGCAGATCCAAACTGGCATTCTTCTGCCAGACAGGGCACGAATACCCGGCCTGCGAGGCGCAGCTATCGTCGCGGAACAGCGAGAGACAGTGCATGTTCGAGTTGTCATCTTCGGGATCCCAGCTGAACTCGTGGCCCTTGGCGTGGTTGATCTTCTTGCAGGGCTGGGTTCCGGAGCCGTGCTCAAAAAGGACTGGTTTGAGGCGTTTTGCCAGACGAATGTCCATGCTTGCGTTGACTGAGTGACAATAAAAGAGTGAGGATGATCGCAGGTGGGGTCATCTTGCTTTAAGGTATCTTTCGAACAATGATGATTGTGTATAAATCTGTAATCAGAAGAGCAAAGATGCCCTTCGCATCATCTCTGTCTTTAATTACATCGAAAGACGTACAAACATCAGCAGATCTAATTATTATCCCGCCAGTATGCCCAACACAGGACGAACAACAGTTATAACAACACCAATCCTACCACCCCCATGCAATTATGAATCACATTTCTGTCCTCCCGTCATACTCGGCGCATGACCCATATTCAGCAAGTGCACCGCAACTAGAAAGCAATCTCGTATTCCAGAAGTTGCCTGATCGAATCATATTTTATGTGGGATGTGATCGACATAGTTACGCTTCTCCAGCGGGGCCTAAGCGAGACCAGCATTAAATGATTGGTATGCAGTGCACTGTACGGAGGAGGATATTGAGTCAGCCTGATCCTGCCTAGTTGTTGACAGGCTAAAGGCTGAGATCGACGGTCTTGGTTCGAAGATTACTTGCATGTTGCGGTGAACTGCGGGGTTGCTTTTAGCTTTGCCTTTACCACGAGTGAGGCCTATATATAGCGTTCGAATTACAATTTTCCTAGAAGAAGGTAAAAGGAAATAGTGCACCTCTGTTCTGCTACATCCCCCACAGAACAAAATCAAAATCAATTCGTACAGACTCCAGCTGAAAAGAAAAGAGTCAAGGTCGCATCCTTGAAAAAAAAATGTCTGGAATTTCCAAATTCCTTCATTCTCTTTCCTGGTTGGACAGCGTGTCCCCGCAAATACGGGGTCGGGAAATATGCATGTTACCCTAGCATTAGCATGCAGAGCCAAGTGAAGAACCTTGGCGGACGTAAAAGGAACATTGATTGATGACTATTAGCTTGATTCCTGCTTGATGCTGTACTTAGCGCCACTCTGGCAGTTCTTTGTCCTTGTTGCGCGTGATATAAGTGAATGAGGCTCTGTCGGATAATAGGCTGGCTGGGTCGGTGGGTTTGAAAGAAATTGGTGATGTAACTACATTATGGAGGTGCCTCTCCTTCTCCCTCCCTTTGTTATTTCCTTTTTTCCGTTTTTTGTGGTAGTAGTAGTAGATATGCATGAAATATGAATTGTAATAAGTCAATAAATTCCTATTTAATTCACTAATACCAGTACCAGCTTGACATAATCCTACAAACTAGCAAAACTGTTATAGACATGAATAAAAAACAAATTGAAAAAAAAAAAAGAGAGAGAGAGAGAGAAAGGAAGAGGAAATGGCAAAGTATAGGGAATGAGGGGATGTAAGAAAGAAAAGTGACAAAGGGGGAATAAAAAAAGGAGAATAAAAAAAGGAAGAAAGAAATAAAGAAAGAAAATAAAGTAGAAGTAAATAGAAAGATAATAAATAGTTAGAATATGTCAAATAAAAGGAAAGTAAATGAAAAAGAAGGAAAAGAATGAAAAAAAAAAAACTAGAAAAAAAAAGGAAGAAAAAGAAGAGAGAGAAGAAGAAGAACTCCCCCTCAAGTCCATTCAACCTTCAGATGATAATCCCTTATCGCTATTGTATTGACAATTCTCCTGCTAGACTCTAGACCCTTCCCCTCGCAAGACTCAGCAGATGGCGAACATGAGTCCCATGCATGGCATCATAACCAAGGAGATGACGATCCGTCAAAGTGAATGGATAATAGACGATGGAAGTAGTCTGCCTAGGAACGGAACACCTTTCGAGGATCTAACCCTTTACCCTTGAAGTATGAGGCATCACACCCATTTATTGTATCGATGCAGTCCTTCCAGTCTGATTGCTGGGGTTTGCAGGCAGGCTCACGAGGGTCTGGGCGGTCTGACTCGCGACGTGGGAGGCCGAGATAGGGACCCGGGTCCTTGTTCTTGTTTGCACCACTGCCGCTAAGACGATCTGGCTTTGCGCCATTGTTGGCTCCGTTGGTGGTGTCCTTGTAGTAGAAGGAGGACTTGTTCTAGTTCTGGTTGTTGGATTCAGACATGATTACCACGAATGTCTGTCCTTGGAAAGGTTGGATGGACGGTAGGCAAGATTAAAGCAGGTTCTTGAAGAAGGATTGTATGTAGATAGGCAGGTAAATTGTTATTTTCTTGATAGTCTGGAAGGTTGGATAGTTCTCTAAAAGAATGGTTCTATTCATGAAGGGTGCTGCATTTATAGTACCACAGACTTACTCATTGCGCTGACTCGATTCGTAGGCTTGTAAGTCATGGAGTCATTTTATGTGTCAGAAATGAATAACTAAATATCGGAATAACTGAATAGTTAATTGCTTTTTTTGCTTGTCTTGATTGATATGTGAAGAAGAAAGTAACATTCCCTCAAGGCTGTGTAATACTGTTGAGTCATCCCATTGTGTCATATCGTACGGAGGTTTGCATTCTAATGGATATTTTCGTTCTAATGGGTATTGAAGACAATATTTTTCTATGGATAGATATTTTAAGTCGACCTTCATATGGTGGTATGTATGATTTCTCACGCAGCTAAATAAAGAAAAAGAAATATAGAAAAAAAAGGCAAGAAAGTAAGATAAATTAAGGAAATTCATACCAAATTTGTCAATTTTTCAATTTATCCATGTCACCCTGTCTATTATTCCATCTGTCCATTCCCCTTGCCCATTCACACATACAGTACCATTCCTGATTGCATCCACATTGAAGTTATCCACCTCGCTTGCTCCATCTATCAACAAGGCAATTCTCCCTCTTCAACTGCTCCTCCAGACATTCAAATTCATTCACCAAAAGGCGCGCACTGATCAGCAAAAACAGTGCCTTGTTAACATCGAGATTGGGCTCCTCCTCGTCCATCGCCTTCAGATAAGCCGTCGTCCAGGCGTTGCATCGATCGCGCACTTGGTGTAAGTGATGACATTCGGTCTGCAGCTGACTCAGGATTTCCTCTAGAACTTGATCGTTGACAGCAGCCTGGTTGTGGCTGGAAACCTGTTGGCTTCTGTCCTTTGCCTGTGGTGCAGCGTCGTTGGGTAGATTCTTGATATCTGCCGGTTTGCGTCCTTCACTTCTCATTCTGTTCGTGGATGGATTGGTTTTATGTCACAAAGTCGTATTGTGGTGGTAGCTAGTACAGCAACTCTACCAGAGAACCCAGGCTGGGGAGGAAAGAAGCCATCTATGCGGGGGCGAGAGGGTTGATATAGGTCTGACATGACAGACGTAGGGCTAAAGGCTTCTGCCGTCAGGTTGGAACTTCTCAAGTCCATGCCTTTGTATCTTTATATCCCGTCGAGTTGTCCCGTTAGAGGGGAGGGATAATGGATGAGTGTATCCGACAGGAACTGTACCTTAATGTATGGTTTTAGCAGCTAGGGATGTGTTGTCGTATTTGCATAGACACCTCTTATTAGAAGTGGATGGCTCAGAAGAAATGAAAGTGACAATTCGTATAGTCTGGGAGATTGATACGTATACGCATTGGTAGGTGGCAAGTGAATAGTGGACTCGAGGAATCCACTTCTGATTCTTGAATGAACAAATGCTTGAATATTGTCCATCCATGTGCACAGACAGCACATTGTATTCCATTATTTTTCTTTTTGTAGGGAAGCTCTGTCTATATGATGACTCATACAGTGATCATCTACTACAATTATAGATCAGAAACAAAATTATGGGAAAAATCTGACTCAATATAGATGACAAGACTTCAACTAGTAATACAATAATCTTTGTCTTTCGATTGTGTGTCTGTATTCAACCGTTACATTTAAAACCCCAAACCCGGTCGAGGCACTCTCCTTCAACGCCCGGAGTCGCCTCAGTACTTTCAACCTAACACCCGCTCGGCTCAGCATTGACTCTCTACGTCAGAGAGATTCGACCTGGCATCCTAAAGCGGTGAATCCAGATACTGCTCGATTTCACCGAGCAGTCGCCATATCTTCCGGCGCTCTTCCACGATTTCTACCATGTATTTTGCGACGCTCATTCCGCTGGAGAGTGGCTCGGTGGTTCCTTTCAGCTCGGGAGCATTCTGCCCGGGGAATAATGGCAGACGGCAGGATTGGAAGTCATGGAGCGAAAGTTCCTCGGCCTCGTCTGCTGTCAGGTCTCAGAGTACGGTCCGCGCGTGGCAGGGACAGTAGTGCACTATCTCGAGGGACATGTCTTTGATGTTGCGTGAGGGAGATTTGATCGGGGAGCCTTCGATTTAAGAGGGCTTTGCCAGTTGATATAGACCAAATGTCTTTGTGCCAATGATTCGAGACCATTTCTATTACCGGCGATACTATATAAAGCATTCTTTGATTCTACATCAATGAGCTCTTTTCATTTATCCGAATCAGATTGGATCAGCTGATACTGACTCAACACCGTCATGTGTCATAAGTGTCATACCGGATGTGTCAGTCGTCAGCCGGTTGTCCATATGCACTTTGCTGAGGTCAATGAGTCCTGCTCTGCTGGAGATTTGTTATTCCAGGATATATGACCTGAGAGTTGATTGAAAGCTACCGGCAGAGCGGTTTCAATGTCATTGGTATAAATTACCTTATACCCTGATTAAACAAGGATCACAGTACATAAGAATTCAAACATTCCTAATAATCAGAGCTTATAAACTGTCGTTCATAGGTATACATCTGTCATTTTAAAATGAATTCACTCAATAAATTACAATCAGCAATTCTATACTCTGACATGAACCGATTGGGGGAACCTAAATGTGAAACAGAATTTAATCAACAGACAGGGACAGAGGATGGAAAGAAGGAAAGAAATGAAAAAAAAAAAGAAAAAAAAAAGGGAAGAAGAAATTGTACTCCCACACACACACTCACTCACACCCTACATCATACATCCACACTAAGTGCATCCCTTAAGTAGAGGCCCTAGTCCTCTTGCACTCCAGTATCATTCTCATCTTGATCAACCTTCTGCTTCACACTAATCTTGACCATAGCCAACTCCTCACGCATGTCCTTCACAGCAGCAGTAAGGTTTCTGAGAGCAAGGTCTCTGAGAGCATTGTGCTGCACCGTGTCATAACCCCCTTCAGATGTGCCTACAGGCGTCAGGTCCTTAATTTCTCTCGTCGACTTGTGGTGGTCAGGGTCACCATCATTCTTACCTGCTCTTGCCGGGCCATCTGTCTGTCTGAAATTGTTCTCTAAGTTTCTGCCATCATGATGACCCTGCTGCTGGATTCCCTTGTGGTTACGAGGCCTGTTGTTCGATTGCTTGTGGAGGACATTCTTGACCGGCTTCAGTTCTGGCGCCGGTCTTAGCCGCCGCCGTGGGTTCTTTGGACACTCGTGCCTCCCACAATTTTCTTTTTTGTTGACTTCCAAAAGCTTCCTTTTGTCGTTCGGGTCTTTTGGCTCATACCATATACAGCCACAGGCATACTTCGTCTAAAACACGTACCTTTAGTCAGTGTAAACTCTAAGGCTAGTTGGTTAGATATTGGGCCCTACCGCTACTGCGTTTTTTGGTATCTCATACCCTCGATCATAATATTTTTTGGCGGCGGAATTGTTACCCCACATGATCCTGCTGATTGACATGAATATATCTGCTTTATTGAGGTAGATAGAGAAGTAGATAGGGAGATAATATCCCGGTGAACCTGGTATGGCAAGAAGATTGAGATTGAGTTTACTGGAGGAAGCTCGACTTCGACAGACAGATACTTATATTTCCATATTGACTCAGTGTATATGTCATTATGGGATATGTGCGTCAGGAGAGGGGAATAAACCCTCTGTATGCAGTTGTGTCAGCATCAGAATCACTGCCTCATATCTATGACACATGGCGCTATAATTGTGGCATTTAGCATGAAGCAATTCTCGAAATACCGGATATTTGCACAGTTTGTAATATACTCGAATATAATGTAGTTGCAAGTTAAGCCTTGATTCCTAGTGGTAATGCATACATGTAAGTAAGGTTGTCAGGAGAGACTCAAGTCTTGATACATGCAATGCAACCTCCGAAGAAAAGAAAGCCATCAGTCGAATCAGATCAGATAACTCCACACCCAACCCACAACCACCCAGAACTGAAAGAACCATCCCAGGCGATAAAAGGAACCATCGCACACGACTGAGCTGCCACTGATTGCGGCGGCGGCGGCGGCGGCGGCGGCGCCACCCCCGCTAGTCCGGCCACCCCCTATCCCTTTGAACTCGACGATGTTGAGACTGGTGTCGCTGTCGCTGACGTTGGTATTGTTGACATGCGAATGCGGCATTGTGGTAGGGCTGGAGACGCTGTTGACGACAGTATCCATCAACGAGGGTGTTAGGGTTGGAGTGCCCATTGTCCTTTTTATGCTGGAAGCAAACAGATAGACAGGTTGACAAATGCAAGGTTAAGAGCCAGTCTGTTCCTGTTTTCTACATTAGCATTGACAGAGAAGAAGTAAAAGAACCAGTAATACCTTCTTTACCTCTCAAAATGTCCCTTCTCAACTTAGATGTGGTACCCCTGTCAAAGAGGAAAAAGGCTCTGTCTGTCTGGTCTGGACTTGCTGTACTGGAGAACAGAGAAGATAGAACAGAATATCGAACTCAATGAATTTATATCAGCAGTGATCGATCGATCGACTGGTTGCGGTTGAAAAAGCGTAGAATCATTCCTGCCGTTATGTTAGTCTTTGTCGGTGAGAGGCCGTGTATATGCAGAACAATGCTTCATATTTTTGATTTCTGGCTATCTCCGTCATTGTCAGAGTCATATCGAATTTACAATCACTACGTATATGTTTACACTAATTTGCTTCACCAGTTGTAGACTTGAGTTGACTCGTCAAAAAGAAAATGTTTGGTATTGTATATCGTTCGAAGATCCATCCCTTGAGCAAGGCTTGCGTGTAGCAAAGGACATAACTAGAGTATTATTATACCAACAAGCATGCAAACAATGTAAATAGTTGACAGAATCATTATGGTGTTCCCAGTCAAGACGACAACCATTACCATCACGATACTTTTCTTCTTCCTCCCTGACTCACTACCCAGTAAATGCCTGCTTTTCCGCCTTCTTAGCCGTCCATTTCCGGTGCAGGATCAAAGTGATGATCCCAGTGCACACTAGGAAGACGATGCAGAATACCACGATGACGCCGTATTGCTTAGCCGCCCAATTGTGTCGATGATGATGGGGTAGGGGGGTCGCCGCCGCCATGACAGAGGTAATTGTCGATACGGAGTGTCTTGAAAGACATCGTCAGCATAATAGCTCATTTACCGAGTTGTATTCTTAGGACAAGCAGCTTACTGGAATGGGATCGAGTTCGGAAAGAAAGGGAGCGAGCTTAGTGAAACACGCCGATGGTTGTGAACGAAGAGTACAGTGCCCGCTAGCAACGAATGCGCTGAGGAGAAATGTAATTAGCACGGTCCAGCGGACAGAAGACGTCAATTAACGATAAGAGTAGTTTCAAATTGACGATATGAATACCTACTGTGTAATTTGCCAGAGACGATGATCCCTGCTGATGCTGCTCCTATAGCTAGAATTGAGGGTGACTGGCTGGAGCAAAGGTCTTGTTGGATGGTGTCCTCGCGTCCTGCAGAATCGAACCAGATGATATGAATCGTTCAAGGAAGACACACTGCTCCGCACAACAGCAAGCATCAACGCATCTCATGTCAAGAGGGGAGAAGAAAGAGAGACTCTCAGCACCGCGGATACCGGTGGTTGGCGGATGTCCATTTTCAGGCAGGAGGAAACGAACTCAATTCCTGCTGCAAGTCTCTTGTATTCGATGTGCAGCTGCCATTAACTCTCTTTCCCTGGTTGATGACCGCTGGCGAGGGACTGGTATGCAATCAGGGCTCTGGCTCAGCTGTTTGACTTTAGACAGCCGGTTTTCTTTAGGGTTTTAGGAGAAGGAGAGTTTAGAACATGCTGAAGATGCTGACAGAGCAGCCGCTCTCTTCCGATAGATCCAAGCGAAGCTGTGATATGCGCAGATTGTCGAGATGATACCTGTCCTTTATCTCTAGGAAGGTTCTTGACAGTCTGGTTGTTAAGAAATAGCGGATTGTGTATTTATTCTCCATTTGGGTTTCCTTTTAAATTAACTACCGCTTTTCCTTTGATTTAGCAGAAAAGAAGCTTGGAATTCAGCGGGTGTTTCTTCCGGGTTGATGCGTCATAACTGGATCATCGTGCCTTCACCACACCACTCTAGCAGTACAACAGCGTTGCTACTAGTCATGCGTCGAATATTGCTTGTCTTGGATAAGTGCATTTATCTTTTCTTAACACTAGAGCTATACACATACCTACTTATCCTATACGTTGTTGGAGAACGCATGTTGGAGCTTCGCTAAGAAGTAAATATCAAGAAACTGCTTAGTTTGCAACATCCTATTAGACTGTTATTTACAGGATTTCTGACACATCCATACGACATGACGGTTCAACAAGATCAGAATCAGTGTAGCATTGATTGTAGTCAATTTCGTATCACATAGCGCTTTCAATAGAACCACACACAGCACACAGGATAGCTTCGAAACTCCGATATAAACGCTCTCTGGTTGTGCTCCGGGATTGACACGGCCAAAGGACATTCACAATAACACGAAACGACCCTGGAACTTCCAAGTGAAGACACCAGCTTCCCGAAAAAACCGCACGAGTTTCAGGTGACAGAAAGCCGGATAACCCCAAGGGAATTCCGCGAGATCGTCTTCAATACGCAGCGCGTTGGGTTCGGAACTCAATCCATAGTCTCCTTGCCGCCAGAATCCTTGTTGTATCCTATCATTGTCATCTTGAACGAGAAAACAATTTGATGTACATCCTGCTCCTCTTGTGAGGAATTTCTGAATTTCCATATTCCCATTTAACAGCGTCACGGCTTGGGCATGTTCTCCTGCTAAATGATATGTCGATTGGTTGAACTGATCTGGCCCTTTCCTCTGGGGCCGTAGTCCTTTCATATGAAGAAATTGCTTTTTCGTAATCTTGGAGCCTGATTTCAACGGTTTCAAGAGCGAATTCTTCGACGACGCCCAACGGAGCGTGACGCTGAACTGTGACATCTCTATCTGAATCGTTGCGAATATGAACAAAAGAAAAATTGGCATCAACCAATGATTATAGATGCCGTCGGCGTGTCCGCATTCTCTCTGGGTCAATGTCTACGGTTCCACCCTTATCGATGAAAAGTCTCTTATGTTTTCGAAGAAGTGCTTTCGAAGAAGCCTGTGAATTTTTCTTGAGCCTTCAGCAGAGGTCAAAAAACTTCAACATTGTGAGTCCATGCAGCGTAGTCCATACGCATTTCGTGCCGCACATCACACTGGTTTTGGTGATGCAGGGAAGCCTCATGGAACTGGGATCAACTTCTTCATTTGGAAATCAGCCCTGATCGGGTAGTAGCTGACCAGGCCCCAGGTCCGCAGCTCTGCATATGTCCCGTAGAAACATGAAAAAAACAGTGAACATCTCCCAGATAGTGTGGCCAGTTGGATGGGCTATCTGATAAGAACTCGACTGTTATGACATGGACTGGAATATGACTGCGTCTGCGAGTAGTTGATGAAGTTCCCTGCCTGCAATTGGGAATGACCAATCTCCACGCATGAGTTGGTTCTGTTGAACCTGTATTTTCAGGATTAAGTTTCATCTTTCCACAATTGCACTCGCACCAGGCGTGGCTGTAGCCTCAGCGGCTTCTACAGCGCGCCCTCGCGATTGGCTTCATTGCTTCCTTCAGTCGATGCAATCGTGAGTACTGCTGTTGTGAAGATCCATCGTACGGGCCTCATATTTGCCTGTGCTGCTGATCCGGCTCCAAGAGGGAAGCGAGAAAGCTTCACAGGATTCACTGTAGTCCTTTCAAGTATTGTAATCGAACCGTACAGATTCTTCTCTCCATCAAGCATTTCTCCTTAAACCGGTCCAGTAGATCTCCTGGCATAATAGGTATCTCTGAGGATGAAGCATAAGTCTGTAAGGTCTCATATCGACCAGTCCTTATACCCACGCGTCGGATAGCTGGACGGGTATCCTCCGATTTTCGATCCCAGGGTGGTTGAGCAGTTTGCCATCGTTCAAATAGCGTATACGCATAAATGACTGTTCGCGCTGTCGTCCTTCCCGTTCTTGCTGCAAGGGCGTTTTGGGACGCCTGCAGTCGCTCCCTTAAGACAGCGACCTGGAGCGCGTAACGAGAGATAGATAGCCCACCTCAAGGGCAGCTGCAGAGGACGGTTGTCAGCTTAATGGACACGAACAAGGTCTGCAATTGTCAGGGCGTTTTTCAGGAACAAAATAATAGCATTCTTTGCAGTTATGTTTGCCGAATGCGCAGAATGAGCACTTGCCATCTGCATTCCGTTGTCTCCCTTGAAGCCACTGTTCCACCCATTTGACAACCGTCGTACCATTGGGGGAAGATTGCGTCGCAGATCGTGATGATGAAGGAGCTATTGCCTTCTCACAGAGCTCGAGAAGTTCAATCTCTGTCATCTTTCCTGGCTCAGGTCGCCTCTGAGATCATTTTTAATAGCAGTAACCCACATGGGAAGTAGTCACCCACATAGGGAGTTTGTTTTGGATTCCTCGTAGCATCAACAGCGTTACAGCTAGAGGTTGGATATACGTACCATCAACACGGTTTGCCTTCTTTACGGCTTGTCGAAAAGCATTGATATACTGCTCCATCGTACCGTAGTCTTCTCTCTTCATAGACGTCGCTAGCAAATAGCTATTGCCGACATCTTCCAGGCCACAACCAGTGACCATTCTTTTGATCGCGTCATAGGTTTCGTCTGCATAGTCTGTTGGTGTAGGCGACAGATCTATCTTTTCAACGAGCTTGGCATCGAGCTGCTTTAAAGGTCGCATGATTTCGTCTATATCCCGAGACGTCTGTTGTGGGAATGGAGCGTTCGAGCTTGTTTTTCGAACGACGTCCCGGTACCGTAGTGTAACTCAGGCAAGCAGCCATCAACGAAGGTTCCATGCCAAAGGGATAAAATAGCAGAGACGTCGTGAGTTCTTGGGAGCACAGTACAGGGAGGACTGCTGCTGTCCCAGTAGCAAATAAATATTTTGACAACGGTATTGTGATCAAATCATCAAGCCTGATGTCGAGGAAGAAAAATATAATTAATATATTCTACTGCCATCATCCTTCTGGTTATAACCTCTTGGGCTCACCACGGACAACACCTATATCGCATTCGTCGATGGGTCAACAAGAAGGTTCTTCATTCCCCATCCTAGAAGCTTTTCCATCGCATCCGATCAATGAGATTTCTGGAGGTGACGTCTCCATGGAGTACTGTACAGTACGCTGTATATATAATTTTGTTGGTGCAGAGAAGAAGAAAAGAGAAAGTGTCTCCAACGAGGGTGAGAAGGACTCTTAAATGTCACTACCGCCTACATTCACTGGCAGTCTGACAGTGACTGTACGGAGTAAACTCCATGCCTAGGTCATTCACCGCTTTGTAATGACAGCTTCTGGAGTGAATAAAGACGCAGCTATCCGAAACAACGAACGGGATATTCCGTCAAAGTAAAATCATATAAAACTTGTGAAAATCTGGTTTTGTACGGAATATAGCTAGCTAGTCTTATCAGCTAGAAGCTAATAGAAGGTCTAGTTCTTCGTCACAATTATCGTGATGGGCCATCCGCCGGTCCAACCTCGGAAGGCTAGAGTGCTCTTTAAACGGGGAATCTTCTCCGGCCTTCGGTCGCGGGGAAAGCCGATCCCCATATGGAGATAGATACCCTCTGGGCCGGCATTCACTCACGGAGAAACAGAAAGGCTTGCCATGCTTCTATTCCACACCGAAAGCGAGCCGACTCGGGGGTGCGGCGTGCCGGCGGCTAAATTGGCTAAAAAGTGAATCGATATATCCGACTAAAATATTTCTCCCAGTAGGCTACGTAATTGCTGCTGCAAGTATAGGAGATTAGCCATTTTTCGTACTTTGTAATTATTTTCTTTTTTATTTATTTCTTCCTTTTCTTTTTTAACCCCTTTTTCTTTTTATTTCTTTTCTTTTCGTTCAGTGCTGTACGTCTCTTCTATCGGCACCTGCTGCGGGCCAGCGCCTTCGGAGATGCTCCGAGAGCCGCGGGGCATTGGATCGCGGGGACTGAGCGCGCAAAGCATCCTGTCCAGCAGACGCCTTTAAATTCAGCACGTCGATGGCTGCTCTTTTCTGCTGCAGAGTCTTCAGCCTTCTTGAATACTGCGCGCCATCCAATCCAAGTGATTAGACATCCACAGCTTCACAGCTTCGACAGACAGTACGACTCGCCATGTCCAAGCCAACCATTGGCTTCGTCGGCCTTGGGGCCATGGGCTTTGGCATGGCCACCCACCTGGTCAAACAGGGCTACACGGTCAAGGGCTACGACGTCTTCCCCAAGTCGGTCGAGCGCTTCAAGGAAGCTGGCGGTGTGCCGTGCTCCAGCTTGGCCGAGTCGGCTGAAGGCAGTCTGTACTACGTCTGCATGGTGGCGTCCGCGCCCCAGGTGCAGGAAGTGCTCTTCAATGAGCAGACTGGCATCGCGAAGGGTGAGTTTCACACGCCTATCCTTTAGATTACCTGCTGACAGACTCTAGTCCTCCCCCACGGCGCCACGTTCATCCTCTGCTCAACCGTCCCGTCGACGTACGCCCAATCCGTCGAAAAGGAGCTGAAGGCGCGCGGACGCGACGACATCTACTTCATCGACAGCCCCGTGTCCGGCGGTGCCAAGCGGGCGGCCGATGGCACGCTCTCGATCATGGCCGGCGCCAGCGACGCTGCCCTGGAGAAGGGCCGGTTCCTGCTGCAGGAGATGGCCGACACGAGCAAGCTGTACCTCGTGCCTGGCGGCATCGGCGCCGGCAGCAACATGAAGATGGTACACCAGGTGTTGGCGGGCATCCATATTCTCGGCGCCAGCGAAGCCATGGGTCTGGCGGCGCGTCTGGGCCTGGACGCCCGCACGACGGCCGACGCCATCATCACGTCGGACGCCTGGACGTGGATGCACGAGAACCGCCTGCCGCGCATGCTGGAGGAGGACTGGAACCCGGGCGCGAGTGCGCTGACGATTATCCTGAAGGATGTGGTAGGTGCAGCAGAATCGACACAGAAAAAAAAAAGTCCATGCTAAGTGAATCCAGGGCATCATCACGTCCGTCGCGCGCCAGCACCAGTTCCCCACGCCGCTCTCATCCACCGCCGAGCAGACCTATCTCACCGGGCTGGTTTATGGCTGGGGACCGAAGGACGACTCGGCCATGGTACGCATGTACTACTCGGAGCCGATCACGCAGGTGCAGGTGACCAAATCGCCCGAAGAAGTCGCCCAGGGCGTCAAGCTGGTGACAGACCTGATGAAGTACACCAACATCGCCGCCGCGGCCGAGGCGATCGCCTTTGCACGGTACCTGAAGGTGGACATGCAGCAGTTCTACGAGCTGGTGGTCAACGCGGCGGGCGCGAGCAAGATGTTCGCCACGCTGGGTAAGACGATGATCGAGGGCATCCCGACGGGCGCTGCGCCGGCCGGGACGCAGAGCATTGACGACGTGGTCCGCGAGCTGTCGGCGATCCTGCAGCAGGCGCGCGACCTGTACTGCCCGCTGAACCTGGGGACGGAGGCGCTGAATCTGTTCCTGCTTGCGCAGCGCGCGGGATGGGGCAAGGAGGCAAGTACCAGTGTGCTGAAGGTGTGGGAGAGTTGATATATTACTATCTAAAAGTGTTTTCCGTATATTTTCAGTATATAGGTGGTTTTTGTATGTACACTCTGCTTAGAATATACCATGTGTTGTCTTGATAGAATAAACTGCCTGTACTGTAAATGCGCTCATTGCCACTGATAACCACCATCTGACGAGACACCATCTGGACAGAATTGACTTTCTTGCGTACAAAGTACTCAAGTAGCAAACAGTCACAGTCTCAAAAATAATAATGTCCCCCGTACAGTATTCATCTTCGTGCCTGATCTGTCGCTCGGATAGAAGCCCGACTCGACGCCGCGCCGTGCTGCCGAGCCCGCACGTTAGAGCGGCGGGCATTCTCGGAGTTTGTCCGATGCGGGAGGACTGCCGGGATGAATTATTTGCCAGAGTATAGAATAATAGCCTGTCTGTCTCGTGTCGTCGATGGACAGCTTGACTGTTTCTGCTCGGGCATTCTGATTGCGTTTCTTTGTTTTTGATTCAGGTATGTACTACGGTTCTGCGTTGTCTCATCCGTCAAGAGACCAGATTATCGATCGATCTGTGCTGACCCCACATTAGATAGACATAATTCCGGCCTGTCCAAACAACTCTCCAGCCTGACAACTGAACTGACAACAATTGATCCTACACCACCTGGAGGCATATTTTATTAAAGTGAATTGACATGCCCACCCACCCCAAACTCCAGGGCAACCGCGCCCTCGCCATCCTCGACGCCGCTGCAGCCGGCAAGTACGCCGTGCCGGGCATGTGCTGCTACAACATCGAGGGGATTCTGGCGACGGTGCGCGCGGCCGAGGCCAAGCGCTCGCCGGCCATGATCCTGCTGTTCCCCTGGGCCGTGCAGTACGCTGACGGGTTGCTCGTTCACGCCGCGGCTGAAGCGGCGCAGAAGGCCAAAGTGCCCATCTCCGTGCACATGGACCACGCCCAGACGCCTGAGATCATCCGCTATGCCGCTGACCTGGGCGGCTTCGACAGCATCATGGTTGATATGAGCCACTACGAAAAGGACGAGAACCTGGCTCTGACGCGCGAGCTGACGGCGTACTGCCATGAGCGCGGCATCGCGACCGAGGCCGAACCGGGCCGTATCGAGGGCGGCGAGGACGGCGTCGCTGACACGGCGGACCTGACGGGCCTGCTGACGACGCCTGAGGAGAGCCGCGAGTTCGTCGCGACGGGCATCGACTGGCTGGCTCCGGCGTTTGGCAACGTGCATGGCTCGTACGGCCCGCGCGGCATCCAGCTCGAGTACGACCGGTTGGCGAGCATCAACGAGGCGGTGGGCGACCAGGTGCGCCTGGTGCTGCACGGCGCCGACCCGTTCACCGAGGATATCTTCCAGAAGTGCATCTCCCACGGCGTGTCCAAGGTCAACATCAACAAGGTCATGAACAACGAGTATGTGCGCGTGCAGGCCGAGCGCGCGGGCAAGGCGCCCCTGACGACCGTTCATGAGGAGGCGACGGCCGCGATGCAGAAGGCGGTTGAGCGGATTATGGATATGTTGGGGTCGACGGGGAAGGCATGAACCTATGCATGCGAATTAATTGATCACGATGGAATTGAATTGAAATCGTATTTGGTGGAGGACTTGATATCCATGCCATAGTTCAAGTTCATACGGAGTACAGTTCAGATAGCATGTAAATAGCCTATTCTCAATATATCCTTGTCCATAGTATGATCTACAAGACGCAGTCTATCAGATAGATAGAATAGAATAACGAAAGAGATAGAAGAAGATTTCTCGATGATCCTGACGAATCAGCCTGATACATGTCTCTGTAGTGATTGTAAATTGTATATACGAATCAGAGAAATTACCAGTATGGCAGACTCATCATTCCAGCTCTGTTTGTCTGAATCAGTCTGTCCGTATTTGCTTTCATGTCGAGGTAGTAATAGCTGCAAGCACGTGGTCTGAACTCCTAGTGCCACAATAAAAAGGGAAAAAAAATAAAATAAAATAAAAATAAAATAATGTGAAGGGCCAAAGCCTTGCTGTCTAGAAACTAGGAGCTCATAAAAAGGATTCGCTGGGGAAGGAAGAAAGGAAGAGAAAGGCACGCGAGCTGTATCAACAGGAGTCATGTGATAAACAACAAATAGACCAATCAGAAGACGAGAGCGAAGCTGAGTCAGCAATATGGGCTTAGCCCGCAACAATACCCCCCTCCTTACTATGGATTCCCTCAGTGTGATGATTGTAAGTTAGACTGTCAATTTGACTGTTGGCGTTGAGTCTTGGTATCCCCCTGGCGATGAGCCTTCCTGGCCTCCCAAACGTCAAGGGCAACTGTATCTTCCATATTCTTTGCTG